TTGATATGAAAAAATACAATTATTTGTACATAAAACTTAATATCCGCTATCCTCCATCATTTCGACCAACTCTGCTTCTAAACGATCAAGTTCTTTAGCTTCCCTACAAAAATTATATAATAATATTAGTAAAATAAAATTATTCTTTATTTGTTTAACTCACTCTATACGAAAGTGGCCATGAGCCAAGGTATTAATTTGATTCTCAAGCACAACCCTTTTATCATCACTGCGGTTAAGAGCAAGCTTTACTGATGAGATAGTTTTTATTTCATGTTTATAAGATCTAAGCGATGTATTTACTCTAAATGGTGTATATTGATTTGATGTTGCAGTGATTCCTGTTAATTTAAACTGTTTAGATTGCATAACTGCTAATTTTCGTGCTTTATCCTCATCATCCGGTGTACCACTCCAAAACAAACATTTTTTATGATCCTCAAACGTCATATGATACTTCACTACAGGTTGTCGGATACCTTTGGCTTTGATTATGTCATTCTCACCAACAATCTTGAAAGAATATGACTTAGCTTTCAAAGCTATAAATTCACTAATAAAAATACCCTCTGCCTCATCAGTAAAAGTTCCAGGCAACTTTTCCCTCTCAATACCATAATGGATGGTCGATTGGTAAATTCGAAGTATCCATCCGTTTTAAAAGATTGGGCTTGTTTAATAAATCAGCGTAGAAATCTGCTGTCTTTATGTAATATATCAATGAATCTGAAAAAGTGCATATAAACATGAAAACAATATAAATATTATAAAAACAGTTTAGGTAGTACCTGTATCCGTATACATCAATTCAATGTTTGAACCATAAATCCTAATCATATAGTTGTAGTGAAAATCATAAATTAACGTCTTTGATATGTCCAAAATCGAAAACCCTACATATATTGGCTTATCAAATTTCAATTCATCCATGTCTAAATGTATTGCCGTCAGGTTTTGACTATAAATTGTAATATCTCTAAAAGTATTTCGGTTGATTAATTTTGCACACGTCTTATCATCAGACACCAATTGCATTTTTAATCTATTACGAACATTTTCCATCGTCTTGCCTGGAGAATTAGAACAAAACTTTGAAAGTTTGAAAGGTTAAAAGTTTAAAAATAAATTTACCAAAGACTGCATTGTTCATTAACTTGAAGAACTCTCTTTCGAAATCATTCCTTGCGTTCTTCCTCATATTGGTGTTCAATTCAATATACTTTGAGAGCCATGCTGATTGATTGAATTTAAAAACTCTATGTACCTATTAAATTATAATAGCATTACATTTTATAATAAATATTATAATAACTAAAGTGTTACCTTTTCCAATATTAAACCCGCTTTCAGAGCTTGTTTTAATGACATGTAATGCACAACGTAGTGTTTTTTAGGGTTCAAATTGGCAACGAGTTTTTTTATTTTTGATCCAGGAGGGATTATCCTCTCTGGAAGGTAAGGTAAATCATTATGCGCGTCATGTAATGATTTAGGATATGCAAGGTCGACTTCTAACGAATATCCAATCTCTGACGTATCGTTTGAATTTTCCAACAATTTTAAAATGTTTTTAACGCTTAGATCTCCTTCATACCATGAAAACCCATCCTTTGGTAAAAATTGACTCATTGCCCAGCCGTAACTAAAAAAAAAAAAATTAATACAAAATTAATAAATTATTATTAATATTATTACATAATATGATACCCACAGAGTTGTTGCGTCCAAGTATGCGATCCATGAGTTAAGCTTTGAGGGATCGTAGTCTGGAACCTTGCTATTGTTCGCCTGAGCATATCGCATGCTCGCTTGTGTAAGTCCACCACGGACTCCAGCTTCCATCATTAATAATTGATCATAATCAGACAAAAGCTCTAATTGAGCTTCAGTATATTTAAGCATACAATCAAAAGACATCCCGGGTGCAGTATAATAATAATTCGGATCCAAGCCGTACGTGTCCAAACATAAATCTCTGAAGTTTTCAAAAACGTCGCAAAGAAGCATAACATCAACTTTCATATACCAGTCGCTATATTCACCTAAGCTATTAAAGTTGAAATGATTCCATACTCTTTTTGCATGTTCATAATCTTCGTCACTTAAATCCGTTTCGGTTAATGTATTATAAAAATCCTCTTTTTTCGGCAAACAATTCTCGTCTAATTTTTCCCACCCGTCCGTATATTCATAAGGGTAGACCCCTTTCCTTGTTACAAGATCCATGCCAGTGCTATTAAATATTTTACATGTGTCCCTGAATTTTAATTTATCTCCTTTAGATAAATTTATTACAAGTTTTTCCAAACTCGTTGCTATAAATCTGAAAGTGTCGACAAAACGAATTTGAAAAGTGTTTGAAACGTATTTCGTAAAAGAGATACATTTTTCTTCCGTGTTTGGTATTACATTAATAGATTTTGTATCAAATCCTAACTGCAATACCAAAAAATGAGAGTCATAACCTGATAGATTATGGAAAAAAATAGGAACAAAGTTAGGTTTCACCATTTGCAAATTACATTTGCTGCAAACAGTTCCTCTGTATTTTCCAGTCAAATAGTCATGATCCCTAACAGGTAAATTATTATTATTATTAAATTTTGATTTACATAACGGACATGTTTCTCGGTCTGCGATTTCTCGATGTAATTTTTTTTCCTCTTCAGTCATTTTAATCGGTACGTTTGTGTTTAATATATTTTCTATCTTAAGTGCAACTTTGACAATTTCTTCCATAAACTTTTTGGCTACGTCACCTTTCTCCATACTCGAATTTCCTCTAAAAATAATTGGTGCCGTCTTGACGCGGACTTGTCTTGTGCCGCGTGGGTGTTGATGTGGTGGTGACCGACGGGACAGTCGGATCGGAACAAACAGACGGTATAATAAAAGAATAGAAAATAAAATAAAAACAACGAACGTCGCACTGAGAGGTGATTAACCGTTTATTATTGTCAGCGACGCGAGTCAAACAAAAAAACAAAAATAACACATTCAATGTTTTCTGACAGTTTCTAGAGTTCGGAATTTCACAGACCGTGTGTGTACCGCTGTCGTGTGTCCAGGTCGGTATCGCGAAGACGAGAGAGCGCGCCTTCACAATCCGGTTCGCCGGACGGCCGGCCGACGGTTCCAGGCGCGCGTGTCGCGCGCCGGCGTCGTCCGTCGTCGATCGGCGGTTTGATAGAGAAGCCGCGGCGCGGCTTCCGCGCAAAGGCTGTTTGAATTCAAACAGATTTTGCGCGGGACCGCGTCATACTCCCCCCCCAAACCGCCAACGGCGTTGGTGTTCCGGCCGTTAATGGTGTTGTGGTTTGCTCAGGGTGTGGGGGTGGTTGTGGAGGTTCATGAGTGGAGGGTGGTGGGAGTAGACACTTGTCCGCGGGCACGTTTTCCGGCTGTGTTCAGCGGACGTGGCCCTGGCGGTGTCTAGCCGTGGTTGGGCGATGTTGGGGGGCTAAAGAATAGTTGACTGAAGTCCATGTCCTCGTGGTCAGCCAGGTGTGTGCCCGCACCTTCTAACAGCTGTGCCTCCTCCTCCGGTGATATTTCCATATCCTCGGGTTGAGGGGTGGTAGCCGCCAGTCGCTCCGTGGTTCCGGTCGCTCCGGAAGTGGGTGTCACTTCCGGTACCGTGACCACGGTTATGTGCGGGGACGCAGGCCCTGGCTGTGACAGGACCGTCTCTGTTGTGTTCGCCCGTTTGAGGCAGGACACGTGTATTTTGCGTGCCGGCTGTTGGTCTGTGATGAACACCCCTTTGCCAACGCTTTTGTGTAGTTTCACCGGTCCCCACCATTTCGGTGCGAAGCCGGCGTGAAACTTTTTGTGCGCGCTTGACAGGTGGTGTGCCTTGTAGTACACCGTGTCACCTGTTTTGTACTTTGTGTCCGTCGGGCCATCTGTTGCCGGTGGTGCGGTAAGTACATTGTTTTCGCGCCTAGCCCTGTCCATATTTATTTGTTCGATCGGGTATTCCGCTGTCCGCGACAGTATCCAGTCCCCCGGCCTTTTGCCCTCTCTCCCGAGGACGAGTACCGACGGTGGGTATCCTGTCCGGTCGTTGCGCCTGTTCCTGATCGAAAAAAGTATGGGGGCTAATTTGGTGTCCCAGGTGTTGTGGTTGCCATTGGCGAGTAGCGCGCGTAGACCTTTTTTTAATTCCTGGTTACGGCGTTCGACTGGGTTGGCCCTCGGGTGATATACCAGAGTTGTCCAGCCCTCGGCTCCCCACTGTTCGATCGCTTTACGCATATCTTTTGCTACGAACTGTGGGCCGTTGTCGCTTAAGCACACACGGGGGTATCCGAAACGTGAAAAGTATTCTCGTTCGAGCGTTTCGGTTATTGTTTTTGTAGTGGCTGTTCCGAGGGGTTATGCCTCGGTCCACCTACTAAACAAATCCGTGGCAACCAGTATATATTGTTTTCCCCTACTCGTGCGCGGGTAGGGGCCCATGAGGTCTATGCTTACCACCTCCCAGGGGTGTCGGGGTATTCTGGTGGTCGCGGGGCCGTCTGCGCGCGTGTTTAGTGGTTTGGTACACGCGCAAATGTGACACGACTTGACGTACAGTCGGATGTCGTTTTTTTGTCCTTTCCAAAAAAAACGTTGTTTGATCGCCCTGTACGTTTCTTTCCAGCCCGGGTGGTTGGCGAGTACGTGATCGTGGTAAGTCCAGATCACGTTATGCGTGTTGGTTTTTGGGATGACTACGGGTGTGTGTTCGCCCAAATTTATCCGGAGAAGACCGTCGGTAAAAATGAATTGTTTTTTATTTTCCGAGGTACCTCCGGTATTGCGCGCTGGGTCGTCCGTTGTCATGTTGTGCGCTATGTCTCGTGTGTCGGGGTCATTGGCCTGCCATGTCACGAGCATAGCGTGTGTGATTGTGGGGTGACTAGTGGTGGTAGCCGGGTTCGTCGTGGCGAACAGATTGTCGGCCGGTGAGCTAGTAGTGGTGACGAGGGTACTCCTACTAGTCGTTCCTCGAGGTGTTCCTCGTCTACCGGGGGCCTGGTAGTCGGGTTGCGGGAGAGCATGTCCGGCGCTTCGTTCTGTACGCCGGGCACATGCGTGGTTTTGTAATCCAGGTTGGCCAGCTGTAGTGCCCACCTGGTTAATTTTGAGTTTGTGTTTTTGGCTCGGTGGAGCCACGTGAGTGCTGAGTTGTCTGTGTATAGGTCAAACCGGCGTGCCTCCAGGTATGGTCTAAACTTATCGGTTGCCCAGATTATCGCGATGCACTCGCGTTCTACCGCGGCGTACCTTGTTTGCGTATCACTAAACTTTTTGCTTGCGTAGGCGATTATCCGCCTTTCGTCCGGGCTGTCACCCCGTTGGAAAAGGACGGCTCCCGCTCCTATCTCGCTAGCATCGGTCTGTAGGCAAAACGGTTTTCCGTAATCCGGCGTCGATAGTTTAGGCGAATCGTACAGGGCGCGTTTTATTTTGGTAAATGCCGCCTGTTCGGTTTCGGTCCACGACCATTTGGTTCCCTGTTTGAGTCTATTCGTTAGGGACGCTATGGTGTCCGCGTAGTTGTCGACAAACTGGCTGTACCAGTTGCAAACGCCCAGGAATTTCCGTAGGTCCCTCAGCTTTGTTGGTGGGGGGTAGTTTATGATGCCCTCTAGTTTCTCCGGTTGTTTGTCTATACCGTCGGAGGTGACTAGGTGTCCAAGAAATGAGATTTCGGTTGATCCGAATCTGCATTTCTCGGGGTTGCATGTCAGCCCGTGTCTCTGTAGACGTTCTAAAACTTTGTCTAAGTGGCACTGGTGTTCATCCGTAGTGTTCGAAAACACCACTATATCGTCTTGATATACGCGGACGAACTCGTCCAGGTACCCCCTCAAGACTTCGTCCATTAGTCGCACAAAGGTCTTGGGGCTGTTTTTGAGGCCGAAGGGGAGGACTCGGAATTGGTAAAGGCCCCGACGCGTCCGGAATGCCGTGTATTTTCGCGCGTCCTGCTTAAGTGGTACTTGCCAGTACCCCGACTTAAGGTCAAGAACGCTGAACACTTTTGCCCCTCTCATCTGACGTATCAGCGTGTTGAGGTCGGGCATTGGGGAAGCGTCGGACTCAGTGATATCATTGAGCCGCCTATAATCAATGCACAGTCGGGGTGAGCCGTCTTTCTTTTTTGCTAAGACGATGGGTGCGGCCCACGGGGATGTGCTTTGTTCTACCAGTCCCTGCTTCTCCATGTCCCGTATCATGGTATCGATTATGGCCTGTTTTACCGGTGGATAGGGATATGGTTTGAGGGCTATGGGTGTTTGATTTTTGAGGAGGATGTCGTGTTCTATTAACCTGGTGCGGCCTACCCTACCGTTGAATACGTCCGGATAGTTACGTACTACTTCGGCGAGTTTCGCGCGTGTGTGGTGGTCACCGTTTATTGTTAATTTGTCGACATCTAGTGCTTGGCTGGGGGTGGGTATCCGACCTTTCCAGCACGCTGTTGTTCTCCTATTCGAACCTAAATGAATAGTGCTCGTTGTGTAGTCCCAGGTGACTTCGTTTTGTACGAGAAAGTCGTGACCTAGGAGAATGTCGCAGTATAAATTGTCCAGAATGGCTGCGTTGAAGGTGACCGTGAGGTCTCCGATTCTGGCTACGAATGTGGAGGTACCACTTGTCAATGTGGTGTCACCATCCGCCATTCGTACCTGAGTTTGTTGTCCGTGGTGGGGTGTGCCAAATTTTTGTGCGGTGTTCGGGCTTACATACGATTTTTGGGCTTGGGAGTCGAGTAGAGCTGTTACGGGGCCTGACCTAAATTCGAGTTCGACCGCGGGGGTCGGAATTTTGTCGGGGCATACTCGTTTAGCGTTATTCGACGTTGGTGGTGATGTATAGCTGGATAACTGGTTCTTAACCGCGATATCGGTGTTCTGGGGAGCGGT